CCACTGCTGTCACCCATGGCAAAAGCATATCTCTCTGTCCCAGCAACATCAGTACCAAGCAAGAGAGTTTTTTCCACAGCAGGGGATTTTGTAAACGCCCAAACATCCCAGCTTCTACCTGGAAATGTGGACATGCTCATATTCCTAAAAGATAACCTTGATGACGCTGAGTGAGTGAGTGAGTGAGTGAGTGAGTGAGTGAGTTAGAGTGGAGTTACTTGAAAAACTAAAGTGAAACTTGATTTATTCTATTGCAGTCTGATTATTATATTGTTGACACTTTAAAATACTACTATCCTACTAAAATGCTGTACAAATCAGATGTATTATTTAATAAAGAAAAAAAAAATCACATTTTTTCCCCTTTATTTTTCAATATCGCGATAAATATCGTACCGTGGACTTTTTTTTTTTTTAATCGCGATATTATCGTACCGTGAGTTTTTGGTATCGTTATATCCCTAGCGTACACTGTGCCTCTGTTCCTTTTCCTTCACTCTAGATCTATTGAAGCTGCTAAAATCTGTAATTATATATCAACAATAGATCCCAAGACTGCTAAAATGGGAAGAAGTCGCTCACATGATGAAGATAACGATCACATATTCCTAAATGAAAATAAAATGGGATTAAAAGCCCTAATGTGAATAGTGTTTTTGAAAGTACCCCACATCTGGAGGCGCAACCTTTTTCTTCACGAGAACCATTGCCTTTTTACAAAGATGATAGAAAAATGCTGAAACAAGACAGTATTTGTTTTACTACAGCTTTCATCTTCTCAGGGATGAAAGAAAATGTGTTCGGGTAAAACCGAGATGTTTCCAAGGATGCCTTCAGGACACAGGAATAGCTAAGTTAAACTGCTTTCAAGTTTTATTCAGTAAAATTAACAATAGGTGATGTAAAATATAAAGTTATCATGGTGTGTTCAAATGTCATCTTGTGAAATTTAGTTTTTGACACAAAAAAAGTATAACACCATTGTTGAACGACATTTTTTAACAGCAATATTATATGGATATTAAAGAGGGAATTTCGACCCGTTACACTTCCTAACATTAGCACTAATGATTTCGTTTTTATTTTTGTCTTTCATGGTATCAAATTGGTTCTCGAAAACTGTTTCGATACTAGATTTCTGGTATAGAGACATCCCTCACTGCTTTTCCTTTTAACTCTGTGACATTCTTGTCTCCTCCAGCGCTCTGGTCTCTCTCCCCCTCGTCAGGTGACTCTACAGCCCTGACTTGACTTCATGGGGTTGCATTAGTGTGTATGGGAACATGAAAGCTTCGCACTTTCTATAAAACAAGGGTGTAAACTCGCCGCGCACCTGTTCCCCCAGCTGGATCCGGTTACCTCCCCTCTCCATCCACCCAGCTGCCCATGTGTCCGTCCCGTCGCTCTCTGTCTGGCTCCCTCCATCCTTCGCTCCCTCTCCCTCCCTCCCTCTGGACTAAAAGATACCTACACCCTGTTACTTAACACTCACAGGGCCTCAGTCACACGACACCTGCCTACCCTGGTTACACACAGAGCGTGAGTGCTTGTGTGTCTTTGGGGAATTACAAAAATAAAAAAACTCAGAGGGCACTGGCAACTGCTGGCATTTATTAAAATTAATATAACCTCAAATTACCATTTGCTTTATGGTTAATTAAATCCACTAATTAACAATTCCCCTATACCCACACAGTCACACATAAAGCGTACACCCACATACAGACGCACTTAAAGGCAGGACAAATTAAGCTCGATTTAATTTGCGCCGGCTGACCTGGCGCTTAAATCCCCACAGCAACTAGAGTTGAGTCAAACAAAAACCACGTATCCTGCTGAAAAGTATTCAAGAAACCGAACGCCCACCCTCACAGAAAGGGTAAACGTGTGCTTTCGAGGCAGGGAAACCTGCAGTACATTCACATGAAGCATTTGGGTCATTTTCGAGCTTCTATGAGCAATTTGCTGGTGTTTTCCTGTCTGAAATCCCCTGTCATGTCCAATTCATTCTTCCCCTTTGACCCACTAGTCCCTGTATGCTTGATTTGGCCCGAGTATCCCCTTTTGACCCCGATGTCTGAGTTTGTGTGGTCGAGCCAAATTCCCGGCAGCTCTGTAATGCTTCAGGAGATTAGCCCGCTCAGCTGAGGCCTGCCGGCACCCGTGTGAGTATGTGTGTGTGTGAGGGGGGGCTCAGATGAAAGAGAAAATAGGTCAGCAGTCACGGCGAGGAAGCGAGGTGAACGCAGACGATGCAGTCCGAAAGGTGGGTTAAGCGGGGTTAGAGACCAAAACCCAGAGACAATCCCCAACAGGTGTGGGCACAAGGACAGAGTTGTGTGACACTGAAAACAACAAACATCTAAAATACATATTAAAGGAACAGTGCTTGCCAATAGAAGTGCGAGTGTAAGATGGTGATGTCACTATGTAACTGAAGTTAACAAAGGAGTCCAATGGAGGCATTTCAGGGGGAGAGAAATTCCCTCTGGAGACAACTTTGGTAGTTTAGCCTTTGCAGACCATTCACATGCACAAAACCCTACAGTATATAACACACTACAGGAAAGGGAAAACCACAAATAGCATAATAGGGCCCCTTTAAAGTGGGCAGCGTCTAACAACAGCTTAACTATATCAAATCATATGTTTATAAACTCTCACACAACTTGAGCAGTATGATCCAAGTCTCATTTAAACAGATGTATGCTCACTACTCTCCAAACACATGTATTTCATGTAACCGTTCTATTTAAAACACTTCCTCGTTCACAGTGTCATGCTTGCGCAGATGCAAAAACTATAAGTGTTATCAATAGTAAGGTTTGAGTGAAATGCATGTGTTTTGGAAGTAGTGAGCTTACGACTGGATACATGAGACTGCTGTGTTAGTTTTGTGAGTTTGTTTTATTTTCATAAAATGTAGCTGGTGTGAAATGTGGCCTCCATTTGCTAAAATTCATTCAAACTTGTCTCTGTTTTTGGAAGAGTTAAAGGTAACGGAGGTGAGTTATTTTTCCTTTTACATATACTACTATCTGTGGAGCTTTAGCCGAACAGAACAAGATCTCTTGCCGTTACAGAACTGAACATTTTACACATCTACTGGGATGTAACGTTTTGTGAAATAGAAGTGTTTTTACTCTGTCCTTAACTGCACATTGACAAGCAAGCATTATATCTTTTGGGGTAAAGGAGCCAAGTTTCCTACTGCTTTCCAGGAAAAAAATAACATTTAACAGAAACATGTTGAGGTCCCTGCCGTGCAGTCCGCTACAGGAGCTAGATGGATTTCCAGCAGAAACTTTCCAGGTTTACTTTGAGTCAGGCTGGAGTGTTTTTAGAGCTTTTTGGAAAACTGTTAAGCGTACATGTTCATTTATTAAATAAACTGGTTAAAAGGTTCACGATAAAGTTATGGTAAACGTAACTTTAGAGTTTAAAACCAATTCATTATAATATCCCCAAAAACTACGTGCAGTGTTTTCTCAGCTATAACTCTTGAAACTCTTAACTCAAACTACACATCTCCATCGATGCATGTTTTTGCATGTGTGTATTTGAACTGTGACTGTATATTAACATCAGAGTGAAACCTGCATTTTCCCTAGAGGATTAATAAATATGCCATTTTCCAACAGCTAACTTTTCGTGAATTTAGGAGAAATATATATAGTCAAATAGATCAAGTTTAGGAAAGAAAAACACCATCATTGTGTATCTAGGGTGTTTGTTTTCCGATGAAAGAAGAGGTAGGGATTTTAGCCTTTAAAGACATTTGAATGCACAAAACGAATATGACACACTACAGGAAATAAGAAACCCCAAAAAGCTAAATAGGGCCTCTTTAAAAATGTTGATTTCATTTTCCACCGGCACAGCCAGGCCTGCCTGAAGTCGCAAGGAACTGTCTGTTTGTTCTGTATTAAGTGTAAGCAGGGTCTTTAAGGGCAGTTACAACACACACAGACAGATCCACATGAATGTGCAAAAGCAGACAAGTTCAGACATATTACTGCATATGTAAAAGCGCAGGAACACATGTGATGAAGAACATATGGTGCATGCAGCGCGGACACGTAGGCAAAAAGAGGGGTACTGAGCTGTAGGCCCGGCAGCCTAAGCCACTTGGGCCTAACAGGATTAGGAGGCTGGGTCACTACAGGGCGGCTGCTGGAGGCTCAGAGGCCAGCTTTCCGTTTGGGACACAGAAACAAACTGATCCTTTATGTGCCGTTTAAAACACATCTGACTTCCAGGGGTTGCAACCAGGGTGGGAAATCACCGTCTGCCAAACACGGGTTGATTTTGGAAACGTGTATCCATTCTGCAGCGCCAGACCCAACCACTACAGTTCCTTTATATGCATTCAGTGCCACAGGGGACATAATGCTGGGAATAAGTCATTAAAACAGCTGCAGGTGTATGCTGGGGATGGATTTGGAAACATTATCCTCCGTTTAACTTCATGAGTCAAATCAAATCCAATGTTGTGCCAGTGAAGTCATAAATGTGGTGATTTCCACATTTAAAGTTTACAGAATAGTGCTTTTGTATTCTGAGGAAACACGGTCCTGTTTTCATCGATCTATGCATCTCAGCAAGAAAGAGAAAAAGCTCATTTCCTAAAAGTGTTAGACCATTCTTTTAATGGTAAGGTATTACTAAAGAAAGTGAAACCTTTGGAAAGTGAAAAAGAGGAAAAATGCAGCTACAATAAGTTGAATATTTAAATATCCCTATGAAAGCCTATAAAAAAGGTGGATGACTAATGAAAAATAAACGCATATATTTCCAACAAAACTGTGCTGATGTTCTTATTTTCTTTTCTAAAAAACCTACAATGATTGTCTTAAAAGTGGACACACACACACACACACAGTGTCTGAGAGGCTTATGTGTCTAATGGAGTGCATCTGATCTTGTTAAAGAGAGTGCTGATGAGAAAACACACACACACACACACACACACACAAACACGATGAGTGAAGGGTACTCACGTTTAAGGAAGCGGTTACGGACCCATTTATTTTGTTTGCGGGCGTAACGCCTCGTGGCAATCTTCAAAGCTTCTATTCCTAGAAAGAGTTGAAAGCAGGCCGTTAGAGACGAAGGGGCGATAAGAGCAAAATCTTTAAATGGATTCTTCAGGTTTTATCAGTCCACAAACGGGGAATCTGAATCCATCTATGGGACTTTCATCAGTTTATTTCTGACCTTTGTCTTTAAGCGCGTCTCTCTCCTGCTGGGTGCTGCTTTCAGGAGCGGTCAGGAACTCATGAAACTCCTTAAAACCGATCGACTGGAAAATCCCACGTTGATAGTCCTGACTGGAGAGAGGAGAGGAGGAGTGAGAAGATGAGGAGAGAAGTGAAAAGAGGAGACAAGGTGACACGAAGGAATAGGAAAGGAGTAGAATTGAGGAAAGGAAAGGGAAATAATAAATAGGAGAGAACATTTGGAAAGGAGAGGAGACGACGTGAAGGCAAAGGAAACGAGAGTAGATTTGAGGAAAGGAAAGAAAAAGAGAGAAAAAGAGGGGAGAGGAGAAGACAGGAGACACAACAACGAAACAAAAAGGAGAAGAGGGGAAGACATTAAAGAATAGGACATGAGATTAGATTAGCGGGAAAGAGAAGAGAGGAAAGGACAGTAAACAAGGAGAGGAGAGGATAAGACAGGAAAGGAGATGAGAAAAGGGGAGAGGAAAGGAGTGAAAAGAGGGGAGCCAAATATGGGGAGAGGAGAAGACATTAAAGGATATAGGAAAGGAGATTAGAATGAAGGAAAGAGAAGATTGGGAAAGGACAGTAAAAAAGGAGAGGATAGGAAAGGAAAATAAACAAGATGAAACAAGAAGAGAAATTAGAAGACATTAAAGGAGAGATGAGAAATTAGGAGAGGACAGGAAAAGGATAAGAGAAGAAATACAACTTCCTCCATCTATAAAAGAGCACAAAGTTTCCGTGTCCATCTTGACATTTCTAGACACTGGGTGGTGACTCATTTCACCTTCTCCTCCACTATCTCTCCTTCCCTCCCTGATCGAGGAATATCAGTCTGAGCAGATGTGGGGCCCTTTGGGGGACAACGTGACAGAATGACATTAAGGGAAGTGAACGGCCCGACAGAGGATCCCCAGGGGTCTGAGTATCCTCACCGGAGTGCATGAGGTCGAGAGGAAGCCCACACAAAATATTGACTATCAATGTCACTCCGTTTCCCCGTAATTCCAGTATTACTGTCGGTCTCAGATTGTAGATATAGCTCCTCAGTTGGTGTGCGTGTTGAGTTCACTGACCTTTTGGCATTTTTCTGTGTACCTCTACAAGAAAAGGTTCTACATATAACAGTTCACTTTACAATGCCTCTTTGGATTTATTGGATTACATTTTAATTTAATAAAAAAACTGCAGCTACTTTGCACACGTATATAATATCTTATATTCATTAGTTTCCATTTAAGGGATAGATTTGATATAATCCTCTTATTATTCTGCAATATATATATATATTAGTGCTGTCAAAATTATCGCGTTAACGGCGGTAATTAATTTTTTGAATTAATTGCGTTAAAATATTTAACGCATTTAACGCATGTGCAGAATGGCCCGCCCCATACGTGCCACCAGTGGCAGCGCCAGGGTATGGCTGGGGTAGGCTACACCCATACCAAGAAATGGCTTAGCCCCACCATGAAAAATGATGTTAAAGTAAGCAAAATAAAGTCTGCCAACTCGCGCGGAGTAAATTGCACAGACAGCAGTTAGTAAGATTGATTTCAGTAGCCACGGTTTTGAAAACTTTTGTCACGTAGTGATCGTCTTCTCAATAGAACATCTTTGATAACGGCGCTGTGTTGTTGCAGGATGTCCCGACGGAGAATACTTTTGCTGTAGTACAGGGGTGCACATAACTGGTACGCAGGTTATGTGCGTAATCTGAAATGCGTACCGTCACTTGTGTCACAAAGCGCATTTGCGTACCGACGTACTTGTTAAGCTTTTCCAGAAGGCGGTTAGATCACCGGACGACAGAGTCGGTCTCCGTGTGCACAGACAGGGCTGCTGTTAACGTCGGTCTGTACAACGGAATTGTGCCAAAACTACGCCAACCGGCTGCGGAGGGAGACTCCCCCCCTTCACTGGAGAACTGCGCTAAAACAGCTGATCACAACGTTCACACTCTGTGGTCAAGAAGTACTCCACGAGCCGCCGCCGCCCCCCTCTGTCGACTTTCCTGAAGTACTCCCCCGTTGATAGAAATCAACACGTAATGAATTAAGACACCACGGTTTGATGATTGATAGGTGTGTGGGTTGTCTTTCATTTTGACACGCAGAAAATGTTATAATAAACATAGATACTGTATGTTAAATGGATATATCCGCCTTCTTTCCATTCCCACAACAATATACATAAATAAATGGCATATTTTGGAAAATAGTTCGAATGGTGATTAATCATGATTAATTAATTTTTAAACTGTGATTAATCTGATTAAAAATGTGAATCGTTTGACAGCCCTAATATATATATATCGCTTCTACTGTTGATATGTTTACATTTACAGTTTATTTTAGTTTATTATATTTTAATTTTCATTCAAATCTGAAATCTCAGAAAGTAACTCTTGGCAGTTTTGCAAGCACATTTACGACCGAATCAAACTTTGGCTCGTAAGACATCCATAAAAAATGTTTTTTTAAAAAAAAGGGTTTATTATCCTATCATCAATATCATGCAGTGCCCACACTGGTAAACAAACACTGGTAAACAAACTAGGGCTGTCCCGAATACCATTTTTCGGGCTCCGGATATTCGGTAGTAATCAGCAGCGAATATTCGGCGGGCGCGCGCTTCAACACATGTATTTCGGTTTGTTCAAGGCATTCATTTTGTTATTCTACAGTATTGTTGTTTTATAGTTATTTGTTAATGTAAATAACCCAATTCATGTTCTTTGAAATTGAAAATGATATTTGTTTGTTACTTTTGTTGCAGTTGTATTCGTTTAAGTGTAATTTGGCTTGGCTTCCTATTTTGTATGGACATGCTTTTATTTTGAAGGAGAGTTAGCGCTGTTGACAGGAAGTTGTTGTTGCTATGGAAACAACGTGATGGAGATTAACAGAGAAAAGTAATATCTACATATAAAGACGGAGAAAGTAAACAATCAAGTTTATGGTTAAGCGTTAGCACCCCCCGAAGAGGCACAAGCTCTTGCGTTGATATTGGAGATTTCAATCAATTCAATTTGAAAAAAAGAAAAAAAAAGAATATCCGATTCGGATATTCGGGTACAGCCCTAAAACAAACCCTGGTAAAGTTATTGATGACAAACCAAAACAAGTGTCTGTCTCCCAGAAGTTCCTGTCCTCAGTATATAGCAGTTCGATTTGATACTGAAGAAAAAGGATGGAAATCAATAAATGGTTGCTTTTATATATTATACTTCATTTGATTATGATTTATTAGGTAAGGATTTTTAATATGGTCTTAGACAGATAAATTGTGTTCTTATAATGTTCTCATACATCTTTTTTTCTTCTTTTAACTAACTTTGATTTACAGACTTGCTTCCATGTAATTATTTGCATTTTGTCCTTTAATTCGCTTTGATGCTGATTTCTCTCTCTTTGTAAAGCACTTTAATTTGCCTTTTAACACCCAGTAAAAACCCACATAGTAAAAAAATACAATGACTATTCCGGGTCTGTAACTTAAACTTGTAACAGAAACAAGAGGAGGAAATAACCAAAAATAAATGTGGCTAGACGGGTAGAGACAGAAATGTGAGAATAGCCACAGAGCACAGGAAACGTAGAGTGAATGGGGGGAGAAAAAGAGAGATGTAGGAAGTAGGGAGAGGTTTGACCTTGATGTCTGGCCACAGCAGCCAGCCAGAGAGGGAGACATGAGGGCAAAGGAGACACAGACGGAGGGGGAGGGGGGAGTAAAGTGCTGGAGTGATCAAATTGCTGAGAGGGCAATAGTGGCAGAGATGGAGGGAGAAATGGGGGAGGAGGAAGAGGAGGAGGCTGGTGCAGGAGGTGGGATGGGGTGATGATGGAGAGGAGGGACGGGGGACGGGAATTGGCAGCTTCCTGGGCATCGGTCCACCAATGCATCAACTCCCCGCAGCCACACCCCATCACACACACACATATCAATATATCCAGCTCAGCAGTGTATCATAGCTGTATCAGCTATACTGAAGCCTGCATGCATGTGTAAACATCGTTCAAGACACAAAGAGCACATAGAAAGGTTTTATTTAAGTATCGTTGGTTGTTATCTTTTCAATTTACACACGGCATCTATTGCACGTCTGTCCGTCCTGGGAAAGGGATCCCTCCTCTGTTGCTCTCCCTGAGGTTTCTCCCATTTTTCCCTTTAAACTGTGGGTTTTCTCCGGAAGTTTTTCCTTGTACGATGTGAGGGTCTAAGGACAGAGGGTGTTGTATTGTCATACTGATATTCTGTACAAACTGTGAAGTCCACTGAGACAAATGTAACATTTGTGATATTGGGCTATATAAATAAACATTAGGCGCATTCACACCGCAGTACTTTTCCCACAAAGGTTCCTGAGAACTCTTTAGTTCGCATGAACTAAGTACAGATCGCGTTCACACCGGAATAAGTCCCTGGGGGAGGATTAGGCAAATGAAGCCGCTGACGTCACTTCTTCTTCTTCTGCTTTGGGTTTACTGGCAAGCCGCAAGCCGCAAACCACTTCACGGCGTATACTGCCGCCCAAAGTCCCCGGCCGCCCAAAGTCCCCGGCCGCCCAAAGTCCCCGGCCGCCCAAAGTCCCCGGCCGCCCAAAGTCCCCGGCCGCCCAAAGTCCCCGGCCGCCCAAAGTCCCCGGAGTTGGGGACTGGCTTCAGTAGAAGCTGCTGGGACTCCCAGCAGCTTCTACTGAAGCCTTCCGAGTAAATCGCCAGAACGCCGACACCTCCTCATCTCCACCGCTCCCATGTTTTATGTTGTGTTGCCATAAGTTAATCTCTCTGCGTTTCTGCGCTGGGCTAAGGCTAATGCTAATAATGCTAATGCAAGGATAATAAAATGGCGGCTTCACAAAACGTTTTGGGAGTTTTACGGGGCGTGGTTTGCAATCCGCCCAGCCAATCAGACAGAGGAACCTTTTTCTCCCACGAAAGTCCCTGCTCTCTAGCAGGGACTTAAAAGGGGGTAAAAAGGTTCTCATGAACTAATTTTAGTTCCGGCTCTTTTTGGTGTGAACGCGACAAAAGAGTTCTCATGAACTAAGTTCTCATGAACCTTTGTGATAAAAGTACTGCGGTGTGAATGCGCCTATTGATTGATTTATTGATTATTAGGGGTGTCAATCTATTTCACAATTTTCTTCAAAATAGTTCCAGAGATTCAGCACAAAGAGGGGCTGATTCAAGCATCTACTGCAGTATCATTTGTATTTAATGTGTGCTTGCCTCTAGTTAATTTGTATGATCTTTTTTTTTTTACTTTAGCCTTTTAGCTGCTCTGTACCGATGGTGTTGTAATGCTGTAAACTTCCCACAATGGGACAAAGGATTTCAGATTTGAGTCCGCTAATAATAATGCATTGTGGCTTGAAAACTGAGTAAAGTGTGTTTAACATTAGTTATATCAGCTCAATGTAAACACATAGAGGCAAATTTAAGACCAAAGATAAAAAAATGTCATGCTAATTCTGCACAAATAAATGTTTTTTAGTGTTCCTCAATTCTCGGTGAATAAGTTCAGGCTAAACAAAAATGGTAACTTATCAAATAAGAACTACATAAATAATATTGGTAGGCGTAGACTAGATTCCCTTTTTTATTTTGAAAAAAAAAGTGATTTTCAACAAATCCCACTTTAATGCTTGACATTAGCTTTGATTTGGTGTATAGGATTGTTGTGTATTAGCAGTAACATTATTATATGTTTTTAAATGAATAGATTTTTTTTACATGAATTGATTTACCCTGTATTTCCTTTCCCCGACTGGTTTTGTATTTTGGTCCTCTAGTTGTAATTATTAGTAAATAAAAGCTAAATTCATGATCCACCCCACCACACAGAGCAGGAGGAGTGACGCAGCTGCAGTGTGCTCCTGGTCATGAGGTTTACTGTAGAAAATGTCAGGGACAACGTTGTAATTGTGTGAAAATCAGACAATCAATCCTAATCATATTAATATTATCTTCCAATAGCATCTCTAACAGACCACATCGCGCCGTGAGTAATTTGTTCCAGGGCCACCAGGATGTCCATTCAGTGCGAGGCCCTGAGGTAATAAGCAGCGACCACCAGACTCCCCTGTTAGTGCTAATGTCCTATTGAGGGGGCTTATCTCGGCAATTATTAATAATCACTGGACATCCTGGAGAAATGTCAGTCCCATCTGAACCAAACTAGCAACAGTGTGGGCCAGATCTAAATTGGTCTGCAGGCCTTTGGGAAACAACAGCGCACAGAACGGAGTGACCTGTCAGAAATAAATAACTGCTGGACCCAGTTCACTCCGCTGCCCTGCTTACATGAAAGAGAGGAGGAACGTGTGCAGCCTGAATGTCTGGATCCCCCATTTGGATAGGAGGATGAGAATGTGATCTTGGACTGGTTTCACAGACATTGGATCCTTTTTAATGCGCAATAACAATGATGCGACAGGAGCCAGAGCCAAGTATGACGTAGCTTCTTGGCCCATTTAACAGATTACAGATCCTACTCTGTCACTTAAAGTCGGATTTTGCCGTTAAAAAGGTTGTAGAGTTTCTTTTAGAGAAGGCTTGCCAGAAACACAAGCAATACTGTATGAAGCAAATGTTGGCTTTGGGAAAGGAGGAAGAGCAACATTAAAAGGGACCCTATTCTGCTAATTTGCCGAAAAAAGTTTAATATTCTGAAAGCCAAGACTTTGTTTAATTGAAATCAGATGAAAACAAACTGTAACGGACCCTGCCGTGTTATTTATGATTACTCTAAGCTTACATTCATAATGTCAGCCGGAGGGAGGGGGGGGTGGCGCTGCGGAAGAGCAGATTGTCTGTCATCTTCCCTTTACAAGCTTAAAGAATGTATTTATCGTGTGAGTTTGGAAATACAAGTTTCATATTCTGAAAGCCAAGACTTTGTTTGTTTAAAATCAAACAAAACACACAAACCCCGAAAAAAAAGTTTTTTACGCAAATCCACATTTATTTTGAAATGAGATAGAGCGGGTCACATATGTATTCTGCGCATCTACTGTGACATGTCTCCGTGCTTTAATGTTCAAAAAGCTCTTTATTTTTCTCATTCTGCCTCTTTTTAACCGTCTGAAACCAGAGCCCAGTCTGCTCCGATTGGTTAGCTGGCAGGATTTTAGCCTTTGCAGACCATTAACATGCACAAAAACCTAAATAACATTGTACAGGAAGCACAAGAGGGCCTCTTTGACTAATAGGTGTTAAAGGGGAACTGTTTTTTTACACATCAGTCTGTTTTAAGGGAGTATTATTTACATGTGTATGTTTTTTGACGCGGCACAAAGTCTAACACGGAGGCGTGTGGCGCAGTAGGTAGAGCGTTGGTGTTCGGATCAAGGTTCAAACCCCACTGCAGTCAGCATGTCGTTGTGTCCCTGGGCAAGACACTTCACCCCAAATTGCTCCTGTGGGGATTGCCCACAGTATTGAGTATGTAAGTCGCTTTGGATAAAATCATCTAACAAGTAACATATATAGGGCGACTGTGGCTGCGAGGGAGTGCGGTCGTCTTTCAACCAGAAGGTTGTGGGTTCGATCCCAGCCCGTGCAGCCAACATGTCGATGTATCCTTGGGCAAGATACTTAACCCTGAGTTGCTCCCGATGGCCAACGGTGTGTGAATGTGTGTGAATGTTAGGTCCTAGAGCAAGTGGTACTGCTCTGTATGAATGGGTGTGAATGGGTGAATGACATGTAGTATGTAAAGCGCTTTGAGGGGTCGTAAAGACTGGATAAAGCGCTATATAAGTACAGTCCATTTACCATTTACATGTAATGTAATGTAATGTAACAAATTGCCATAGGTTATGTCCCTGCATCTGAAACAATAACAACATTTGAGAGCACTATCAAAATAACAACTTAGCATCAGGTTGATAGTGTTTCATCAGGATGGTAGACATGTTCTGCTGCAGATCAGTTACCTGTCATCCTGGACTTTCTGTTGATTGAAGCGAACATGGAAGTCTCTGAGCTCCTCTATGAGTCCAGCAGACAACATCTCATCCACACGAGCATCCAGCCGCTTGTCTAGAGCTGGAGGGGAACACAGAGGGAGAAATATAACAATTGACCAGTTAAATAAGACAGATCAATGTAGAAAATTATCTAAACTATTATAGCTCTTTAGCAATGTTGCCATTGTTGTTGTTTGAATAACAAGAGTTGCACAATTAATCTAAATTATATCAAATTGCAATATAGAATAGTGTGATATTCTAATTGCAGGAAGCAGAATATTTGGGTATTTATGCGTTAAAAATAAAAAAAATTGCGGCCCAATGGCGGTGGCGCTCCAACAGGCTGCAAAGATTTCCCAGCCAACACATTTTATTCTATATCCTTAAAAAAACCTATTTGTTTGGTACAGATCCCCTTAAAATAATCAAACTATAATGATAATGAGACAATAATTAAAAAAATTATAAACCCCTCCAATACCATGAATCATATCGCAATGGCAAGATCAGTCAAAAATAATCGCATACTTATTTTTCCAAATCTTGCAGCTCCAGTAAAAACAGTGAATTGAAATCCAATCGAATCCTCAATCCTCACCTTCCATGTCAGCGTGCAGCCAGAAGATGCAGGGGTCTGAGTATCTCAGCGGCCCCCCGAGCCCATCGCCCCCCTCCTGCCCCCTCTGCTCCTGCAGCCAGCGGGTATGAGAGACGCCCGTCATCTCGTGGATCTGAAGACTCCTGTAGATAAAACACATAGCGTCAGAGATGTGGTTAAATACATCACTTAGTCAAATCTCCCACTGTGTCGAAACAAGCAAAGTTACTTCCTGTTTGTTATTTGATGTAAATGATCTAGTTTACATCCCTGTATGTCGGGCCTCAGTAGGTTAGCTGAGATTAGATTAGTTAAACATCCAATCATCCATTAAATCCAGTGCAAGTGAAACCCCCCCCCTTTTGAGGCTCACATCAAGAGGCTAGTTTGAGTATTGACAAAGGATTAACACACCCTAACACCAATTCAAACGACATAAAGCGGGAAGAAATATAAGATAAGGGATGAAACTAGATACATAACTGCAGAGTAGCATCCGTCTATTCCTCACACAGTTAACATTCAGCCAGTAAATCTATTTTCGAGATGCTGAAATTTGAATCCAAAGCAGCCCCTTCAGCCGTACCTCGCTGCTCTGAGGTTACGGAGAAAAGATTATTCCTGTCGCCTCCTGTCATCCAGAAGAACAGGGTAACCTAACCTGCTCACACGGAAGACCAGAGTGCACTGACTGCTACTCATCAAGCCGTGTGTGTGTGTGTGTGTGTGTGTGTGTGTGTGTGTGTGTGTGTGTGTGTGTGTGTGTGTGTGTGTGTGTGTGTGAGCAGATGCTCGTGCTGTCAGCCGACACTGCGTGGAGTCCATGTATTGTGGCTGTCAGCCTGAGACAGAGCGAGAGCCCTTAAGGACCTTGTACAAAACATGAGGAAACTCAACAATATTCTGAACACCCACAAACGCTACATTATCCACTAGGTGGGAATAGCATTTCTCTATTCTATTCTCTATTCTACAAACACATGAAGCCGTTTCTGCAGTTTCTATTTAAAGGAACTGAGACATTTCCAGGCCCTTATTTTTAATTACCAGCTGTATCACCTGGTTATCTTGCGTTTGTCATTGGGGTGCAGCATGGCCGCCATTTTGGGGTCAACCTCCGCCAGTCGTTTGTGTAACTCTTCTACTCCCAGTTTCTCCAGCTCTAGCTTCCTGTCCAGAGCCCCATCTCCTCCGTCCCCTGGCGCCCTGGTCTCCTGCTGTGATACACATTTCATTTAGCGCTTTAAAAACCAAATCTGCCTTTAAAAGCTGCTCTTAAACTCCTACTTCCAGATCTTCTAAAGTGACATGTCGTGAAAAACTGTCTTTTTCAGTACTGTGCCCATACATAATACAACCAAGTCATTTTTTGTGTTATCTCTAGATTAGAAAAAAATAATGACATTCAACAAACCATTTCATTTGTGTATGTCCACTAATGGCTTCTTCAACTTTTGCAATGATGCGCTATATTTTATTCTTGGAAGCCAATCTAATCAGACTTTTCCAGGAATGAGGCTTGGAGGGAAAAACGCTAAAATGAGCTCGATCAGAGACACAAAATACTATTTAAGAAGCTAAACAATAAGCATCCTCGCTAAATTGCAATGTAAGAGCAGCATGAAGAAACCGCTCTTAAAAATCACATCTTGGCAACTGACAAATAAATCAAGGTCAGACTTTATTATCACTAAACAGACTTATTTTCACGTAATGAAAAGTTGAAGATAAATAAGAAATGCATTCATCATTGCGATAAATAGTGTAGAGGCATAGAGGAGGATGGGAGGTGTGTTTGAGTTGCACTCACCCCTGTATCCACCAGGACTTTCCACAGCAGAGACTCAATGTAGTAGTTTGTTCCTCCTACAACGACTGGCAGTGTGTCCTTGCTGTGCATGTCCTCCATGTTGAAGGCTGTTAAGGAGAAACTGTGAACATTGTATATACTGTACAAGAACAGAGTGCTGCTGATTTTCATAGTTGTTACATAAATGCACCTCAATTAAAGTGCATGCATATCAGTGTACAGGGAATTGAGCTAAGAACCTTAAAGGGGCCCTATTATGCTTCTTGGTTTTTCCCTTTCCAGTAGTGTGTTATATCAGATGCATGTAAATGGTCTGCAAAGGTTAACATCCCAAAGTTCCCTCCAGAGGGAGTTTCTCTCCCACGAGCTTCTATCACATTATACATGATAGGTTAATGGGCGGGACAGCTCGTAGCGGTTGACCAATCACAACAGAGCCGGCCAGCTAACCAATCAGAGCAGACTGGGCTCTGGTTTCAGACAGAGGGTGAAAAGAGGTGCTGCAGCACGGCAGTATGAGAGTATTTTTGTTAACATTAAAGCATGGAGACATGTCACAGTAAAAAAAAAAAAATCTAAACCTGAAAATGAGCATAATAGGGCCCCTTTAATGCACACTATTTGAAAATGTCAACTGGAAAGTTTTAATGCACATTTTCACAATTCTTCGAAACTTCAATTAACCAAATTGACGAAATGCTAATTAATAATGTAAAGAATCCTTAGCTATGGCAACAAAGTCAATACTGTGTCTTTATCACAAACTCAATATCAGCCGTTAGTTTGCGTCAGCTCCTAAATCAACACGCAAATATCAATATTGGAATTTAAACAGCCATTCAAGCTTACGACCTGCCTGCCACACCTTATTTCCCTTACTCTCCCCTTTTCTGTCGCATCTGCTCTCATCTTGCACTTTCTCTTTTCCCTTCCCTCGCCCACCTTCTCTGGGATAATCAAATAACCACACAAACAAGATAACGGCTCATCAGCCATCTTCACTCACCTCCCCCCCCCTCTCTCTCTCTCACACACACACACACACGAGAGGTCTGCATCAGTGTTTGTAGAGGCAAGGAGAGCGGATGATTGCTGACAGAGATTTCAAGGGAGGGAAAACAGAAAAGAAGGCTGGAAGATTGAGAGCAGTAAAGGAGAGGGGGGGTTGTACGGAGGGAGTTAATGTGAATGGCATGTGGAGTGAACGATTGATAGCCGATGATGCGTCATTAGGTCCTGCGTCTCTGAACTTCTCAAGCTTGTCAGCCCCCCCCCATCCCCCATCATCTCTCTTTCCTGCTCTACAGTTTAAAATCCTCCACATCGCCGCTATCCCTACTAATCGGTATTCATCTCTTTCCATTTCTCCCTCTTCCCACCGGTGAGCTCTCGCCGCACTGAGCCTATTCTTGGAGCCCCTCGCTGCACTGGTGAGTGTGCGTGTGTGAGAAGATGTGTGTGTGTGTGTGTGTGTGTGTGTGTGTGTGCCTTCCTGATCTATTAATACCGCCTCTAGTTATCACCTCCTTTCTCCACATCTGTGTACCGGCCAGTGTCTGCAGTAGGGTGTGACTGCCCAGAGTGTGTGTAGACGCACACACTTCTCTATCAATATCATCTCTCTCTTCTCATTTTCAGTAAAACATCTGCAGCGAGACATGTCGACAAAACTAGGACATGGCAGATCTTCTTCCTCACACATATTCACACACACCTCCAGACCAATTAGTAAAAGTCAAATTGACTGCATTCCTTTTTCCTGCAGTTACCGCGTGATAGACTGGGAGGGTAGATGTGACGGGGGTGCTGGCAGCATGCAGAGGGGTGTTATGGATAGTATTGCTGCTCTTCTTGCGCACGTTTCTAGGAAAAGGATATTAGAGCCAGGGCTTTGTTCCTGAAGTCCAACACCGTGTAGCCGCTGACCAACGGGTCCACGAAGCTGATCATGTGATGTTTGCACTGAGCGCGCTCCTCAGCTGTCACCTTATTGGTGATGATGTCCAGGCCCTGGTACACCTGGAGGAAACAAGCAGAAAAAGGTGTTCAGAATCATCGTAAAAACAGCTCGATAGGCGGGTATAATTGCAATAATATGAGAGCATTCAATGAAATGTAGTTTAGACTCTTTTGTACAAAGTTAATTACAATAGGAGCAATAAACCATGAGGATACAAATTCAGAAAAGCAAGAATCCTGATAGTACATGAGCTTAAAATAACTTTGTTAGTGCTACATACTTGATTCTTTTCCATTTTATTCGCCAAGAACAAATGGATAAGACTACAAAAAAGTCCCAATTAATGCACCATAAGAACAGAAGGTTAATGGAAGCTCTTTGTCCTTTAAAGCATAAATTCCTGGAAAAGATGTCAATAAACAAATCGAGCAGAACATTGAAGTCGGTTTTTAGTGCTAAGGTGTGTCCGAGTGTGTGTATATTAATCATTGTCAGAGATATCAAGTGAATAACGAGGATCTCTGTATGTCTTCTGTGTGAAAAGGCTCTCACCATTCCTACAAACTATGGTACACACCGCCTCTGTCCATTTGTATCCCCCTCACCCAGCGAAGGGGCCTCCCTCATGGAATTTGACAGCTGGGTGTGATATACAGTAGTCTGTCAGGATTTTCATTCTCAAAGGAACAGGGTGAAGAGAGTTTAGAAGGATCTCGGGACAACTTGGAAGGACTTTTTTCAGCCCTTAAATCTTCAAAGTTGAGTTTTCCTTTGTTCAATATCCTTGATCATTCGGAAAATCAAACTCTGTAAGGCTCTTTTAGGAGATGATATACACTTTCTGACTTGATCTGCACTCTAAGAGTAATGTCTGGATAAATATTACATTTTTATCTCAGGTGGCTTTAAAACATGAAATAAGTGGTGGAATGAGCTCCCCATTGACATCAGGACAGCAGATAGCTTACACATCTTCCGGCGCAGACTGAAAACTCATCTCTTTCGACTCCACTTCGAGCGATAGAATTGCTAACAAAGCATTTATATACTAATAAAGGACTGGCTTATCTAAAGCCAGTTGAGTAGCACTTGAAATGTTTTAGCTCTATGAAACCTGATGTACTTATATGATTCTGTTTTCTTCAAGTTTGTGTCTTCCTGGTCGAATGTACTTATTGTAAGTCGCTTTGGATAAAAGCGTCAGCTAAATGCAATGTAATGTAATAAGTGCATTCAATGTGCTGCAACATATGCAAATCGAAATGCATGAAAAACCCTTTGATGTAATTGGGTATTGTCGATGGATTAGCCATGATAAATACACAAATAAGTTGTCTGCAGAGAAACGGAAGCTATTTCTTTTGGTTGTGCAGTTTATGACACCAATGATCAGGTTGTAGATGGAAAAATATAAACATGTATCATGTAAATAAATACACATTTATGCCCCTGTCCTCTGCAAAGCATCTGTATAACATCAACCGTTAAGAGTGTGTGTGTCTCAGAGTGGTTAATCATTTTTGGTGATTGCCAGGAAAACTTGATGAAGCCCCTTTGAGTCAAACATTATTACCAGTAGGCTGAGCGCTGTGGTTTTACTCAGCTCTGAATTGATTAAGAAGAAAGGAGCATGGTGAAACACTCTATTGTTCAATAATTCAGGGCCTTTAATCATAAGAAGTCAGCCTGCTATTGGGACTAAAGCAATGGATGAATAAAGTCACTCATGAGCTTGTTTTTCCCTGAGAAAAGATTCAAGATGAGTGATGCATGAGGAAAGTTATGGCGCATTTCCACTACTGCGCGGAACGTGGTTTAAGCGTTGCCCGGTCCGTTTGTGGTTGCGTTTCCACTAGGGGTAGTTCCGGCTAGCGGGGACTTTTTCACAGTTTTCTGGCTCTCCAAAATCGAGGTTCTTTCAGGGCCAACAACCGGGCTGAGTATGCTAAAATAGTGAGAATCGCTGGCAACTACAACAAAATGAACATATTTGACCGTGATTTAATTGTAATACACGTTTCAAATGATGCCGAAGTAACAACATACTTATACTGGTTAGTAAAAACCATGAATTAATGCTTTGACAAGTCTGCAGATAGACGGCAGGCGAAAAACCTTTTAAAATGCATGTTTTCTAGATGAAGATCGGCTAAACTAACGTTGTATATGCGCCGACCGTCCACACTCACAACAACGGCCTATACAGACATAAATAAACCAGCGACTGTATTCACCATGACACAGGCAGTCTGTGGTTTGTACTTGTTTAACTTTTGTAAAGTTTCTGAACAGATATGAGGAGCTGTGAGCTTGAGTGCTAAGAGCTAACGGCTGATGTTGGTTTTGTGTTTCGCATTGAAGATGACGTCACGGCTCCGCCTACACTATGTTACTATAGTTACTACCCCAGCTACTAAACTGTAATGGAAACGCAGCATAAAGTGAGCCTGGCCTACCAAGGCCTAACAATACCGTACTAAGCCGTGCGAGGCCCTGCAGTGGAAATGCGCCATTAGAATGTTTTGACTTAGGGACGAACGCTATTAAAGCTAAAATTAGCTAGCTACAGGTGAAGTAGCTCTAATTTCTACAAGCAGATTCATTGCAAGTAGAAACTAAATTTGTCTCAATTAATTTTCCCTTTTCCTGTAGTGTGTTATATAGGTTTTTGTGCATGTAAATGGTCTGTAAAGGCTCAAATCCAAAAGTTCCCTCATGTGTCTTCTCGTCAAAAACAAGCTTTTATAAACATTTGTGTGTCATTTATAGTCAGACAGAACATGCTAGCACCTAGTTGTATTTTATGTTTTCAGCTTAGGATGTATTTTGGGCTGGAAGGTGTGCTCACATCCTCTTGAAACCCCCCCCAACATTGTTATCAAGCCTCTTCCAGTAGTCCACATCTTATATTTCAAGAGAACAACATTATAGACTGTTTAAACCAGCACATACATACATTGGGAGATCAGTACAGCTGTGCAAGGCATCAATCACATCCTTAGTTAAAGTATGGGTTTGGGTTGCGTGCACTTTTGACCAAATGTTTCTCGGTAACGCGGCAAACCAAAAGTGGGGAGCAGGGCAGGGCAGAACAAACCAGACGCATCAAATATTCACGACTTCTCTGCACGACACCACTGCTAGGCACGGATGCATGGATGGACAGATGAAGGTTTGGGAGTTTTGGGGGGAGCTTTGGGAGAGGAAGACTGAGAAAAGCAGCTGAGCTGACAGCAGAGCGCCGTGTACTTGTTACAGAGAACATGATGCTCCTTGACACATTTGCACACATTATCCTCCATCACCCATCCTTGCTCTGTCTCTTAATCTCACACACACTTATGCAAGATGTAGAATGAAGACAGGATGACAGATAGTAGAATGATAGTGAAAAAAAGACAAAGCAAAAATAAATGCTGCTATTAGATTGCTGTGTGTGTGTGTGTGTGTGTGTGTGTGTGTGTGTGTAAACGCACAAATAATTTTTATTTTACTGTTTTCGTGACTACTCATCCGTATTGGCTTAAAAAGGTCAGATTTCATGACAATTGGGCAAAATCAATCCATTGAAACAGATCTTCTGTTCCATCATCCGTTCTTCAAGAGCCCCTGGATTCCTGGAAAACTGGCCTTTCTTTCTTCCAAGCTGGAGTGAAATGTCCTCTCATCCTTCTGCCCTCCTGCTCACAATCCTCTGTGTGTCCACCCTACCTGACACCGAGAAAACCGTCCCGTTATGTACATTATGTACATTCATTTTCTTGTGCGAAAATAGATTATGATTTTTTATTTCGCCTTAACGAGGACAACAACGCCCAGGATTAAAAGCAAGCATAAGAAGATTGAAGTGTAAATCAGAGAAATGACAAGAGCCACTTGATTGGAGGATGTGAGAAAATGACTTTGAAGGTGGCGCTACAAATGGGGGAGTAAATGAGAAATAAATTAGGAGCGGCTCGACTACAAATTGCAGCGGAATTAAAACCTCAAATCATAAAGGAATTAAAGATAAAACTCAGATCATAGCTTATCGTGTTTACACATGTCCTCGGGAAGGAGATGAAAGGAAATGTCATACTAAAAAGGGATTCAAGTAAACATTTCAAATTAAATATGACATTTCTGTATTAGAGGGGAGATGTAGTGAGAATTGATTATTGCAGAATTGTTCTTTGCTTTCTAAGCTTTGTCATATTTTCCGCCATCTGAGGAAAAGCCAGGAGGCATCAACCTTTCTGGAAGGTGGAGAGACATTTGGTCTGCAAAGATGTGAAACTATTCATTGTTCCATAAGTGTAAGATCTCAATGTGGTGCGTCATTTCAATATCAATGAAAAAAAGGCACATTCCCAGTGCAAAAGTCATACTTCACGCCAATGTACATCAATGGAAACCAAGATAATGTGGGCTCAGCTGTCTTCTCCTTCCTGTCCCACTTTTAAATGAATGTGAATGGAGGGGACCGTGTGTGCGGAAGTGGGGGGTGTGTGTGTGTGTGTGCGTGCGTGTGCGTGTGGGTGCGTGTGTGTGTGTGGTGTGTGTGGTGTGTGTGTGTGAGAGAGACAATGAGCTCAGTGTTCGAGCTTTGCAGAGCCTGCAGCCGGCCTGCCTGGCCAACCTTACGCCCTGCACGAGACAGCTGTTTCCTCTTGCTACATAAATAAGGGACGGGCATTGGCAAAATGAAAAGAAGAGGGGCAAGAGAGACAGAGAGGGGAGGTGAGGGAAAAAAGAAAGAGACGGAGAGAACAAAAACCTCATTGAGACATGAAATAAGATTCAGAGAGGCAGATAAATCAGACCTTACAAAGCAGTGTTTGTGTTCTATACATTTACAAAGAAACAGATACTTCTGACCAGAGATGACCATACAAGACTGAAAAGCTAGATAAATAAATGTACTTTATGTATCTTTTTAAAAGGAAGTAGGCGCAATACTGCCCTGTTTGAGCAGATTGTGGTCTCGCTAATCTAATCCACTTTCATGTTTGTAAAGGCAATCCATTCATTTTAAGATATTTTGGACATTTGCCCATTCATTTCCTTGCCCAAAAGACAG